CTCTCTCTCACCCCTCCTCTCTCTCTCTCACCCCTCCTCTCTCTCTCTCACCCCTCCTCTCTCTCTCTCACCCCTCCTCTCTCTCTCTCACCCCTCCTCTCTCTCTCTCACCCCTCCTCTCTCTCCCCCCCCCCCTCTCACACTTCCCGATCCGCTCACTGCAGGGAGAAGATCGGGAACTCAGCGATCGGCGGTATGTGTTTGCTGAATTCCCGATCAATAGAGCCGAAGGGTGACAGCATCAGTGTTACAGGTCGGCTTGAATTATGGGGATGAGTGTATTTTACTCACCCCATGATTCTCCCTGTAAGAAATCAGGAGTGTTAACTAGGGGTACTCAATAAATAGATTTGTATCTATTCTAGGAAGCCATTTAAATCCTCTCTTTCCTCCTCATACTGCACTACTTCAGACTAGATGCTATAGATAAGAACAGAATATATTCATACATACTGTGACAGTGTAGCACCTTCTCATGGTGTGATAAGGGTTAGAGGTCACCCAGGGATCTCACCCAAACAGGTTGAGGGGCTTCATGCCGCATGTTTCTTATGGAGAAAAATAGCTTTTCTCCAGGACTGATAAACTTTGGTCAGGGTCCAGGAACCCGGAGGATTTGTAGAGATTTGAGTGGGATGAAGCCTCCAACCCTGGGCCCATGTTTTGATGTTGACCCTCACCCACTGATTGAGAAGCTATGCACAGTCTATATGGTATGGGGTCTAGCTAGTGTTTAGGGATCAGACACAGAGGGACACAGAGGAGGTCTCTGCTCAGTAGTCATAAGGGCTCCACCCAAGAGTTATGGTGGAGGTCAGTGGAGCAGGGAGCTACAAGGTCTGTGCGTAGAGTGCAGGTCAGCACGATGTTGCAAGACTGTCTGGAGGACACAGACAGGGACCTGAGGACTGAAGCCAGAGCAGCGGTGCAGCTAAGAGCAAAGCCAGGAAGCCAGGATTGATAAACTCTGGTAAGGTACCAGGAACCCGGAGTCTTTGTAGAGAGTTGAGTGAGATGAAGACTCCAACCCTGGCTCCATGTTTTGATGTTGACCCTCACCCACTGATTGAGAAGCTATGCACAGCCTTCATGGTATAGGGGCTAGCTAGTGTTTAGGGATCCACCTGGGACACAGAGGAGGTTTCTGCTCAGGAGTCATAAGGGCTCCACCCAAGAGTTAGGGTAGAGGTCAGTGGAGCAGGGAGCTACAAGGTGAGTACCAAGAATGCAGGTCAGCACGGTGTTGCAAGACTGTCTGGAGGAAACAGACAGGGGCCTAAGGACTGAAGGCAGAGCAGCGGTGCAGCTAAGAGCAAGGCCAGGTGGCTACATTTACATATTTTTGGTGAAAAGAGATGAAAAACAACCCCTCTGAGGGCAACTGCATTATGCTTTAAGAATTTTCTGTTAATAAAAGTGGGCAAGGAAGCAGTAATGTGCGGTACCTCTGGTTCCGGCTGAGGCATTCCCAAGCCTCGCTCTCAGCACGCCCCGCCAAAGCACTGCGCCCCGCCGGCTGCGGAAGCTCCCGCCTCTATCTGCCAAAGTTTCGCCCCCAACCTGGCCCCAAGTTAGTTTGAAGGAGGAAGGGAGGAGACAGTGAGGAGCGTCCCTGTCCCTCGCTTGCTCATCACTGTTTTGTTTTTTTTTGATTGGACAGCTTGCACCAATGGCGCTTTGCCATTGGTCCAAGCAATCCACAGAGCTCACGCCTCTAACAAAGTAACAAAGAGTAGAGGCTGTGACAGCTCTTGCCACAATAGTTAGGTTACACAAGCAGTGGGGAAGCTCGCTGCTGTGTAACCTAACTACCTGTCAAAAGCTGGATGCAGTGCCGCCTGTAATTAACAGGCATCGCTCCGTCCATGACAGGTTACACAGCGGGGAGTCTTTACCTGCTGTGTAATCTGATAGAAGCCGATCTCAATGGAGAAAAAGCTGTCAGCTTCAGACTTAAAGCTGACAGCTTTTTCCTCCATAATACTAGGTGAGGCTCTGCCCCACTTGCCTCCCCTGACCGCACGTCCCTGCAAGGAAGCCCTAAAAAGAAGGTTTCAGCAAGAGGCTGCATCCCTAATGCTCTACTGTTTGATACTAGTTCTCACAATACATTAGGCACGCTGTAACTATCACTGCCCTTAAATAATCATCTTTCTTTTTCTTCTCTAAGCTACTAAAGAAATATAAACTCAATTGGCCCGGAGGTCTAATTAATTGCGCTGGCTCATGTAAATGTATTTTTTTCTTACGGTGTCATCCATTTTTAGCTCAGAATTTAACCTTGTCCTTCAGCAAATACCACAGAGGCCTTCTTCTTTCCAATATATGATACTTACTCCCAGGGAGATATCGAGGGTCTCCTCATTATCTGCATTTTTACACTTTGCTTAATTTTCTGTCCCCACCAGTTATGCCAGAAAAGCCCAGCAACAAGGGATGAAGAAGTGATGAAATGGCAAATTGCTAAGTGAGAACGTTTATGCGCTAATTCTTACACAAATTGACTTCTCTGAGTTAAGTGCCACAGTGAATGAAGCTCTAGTGTTTCGTGCCTGCGAGTTTTTACACTTTCCTAGGGGTCAACACAAGTCCTACACATAGGGATAACATTACTACATCTCATATCAGGGAATGACTACTTTGTCTGTCTGAGATCATGGGTGATGGCTTGTAAGTGGAACAAATACTCCATAAAGGACCCGCTGGCTTCCAAAACATAATTGCTAGTACCCAGAAGAGTGCCCGGGCCTGGAAAGCCTTGGGGATATGGGAGAATTATTGATAATTTGGGTCTTTCCAGGACCATAATGGTTTTAGTATCTGTCTTTGGTCTCTAAAGGTAGTAAATGTGTGCCACGGAAGATCATTCTTTATTAGTATCATGTAACTCTGCACAGTTGTGTTGGTTTAAAGCTTTATGCGAAGTCTAAACATGCCTACAGAAATGAGCTTGGCACGCAACTGACGGCCCCTCCCAACTGATTGAATAGAGTCATGCGCTGGCATCTTCACTTTAAAGTGTAACTCCTCTAATGTTGTGAAGAAACCCATCTGGGTGATCAAGGTACATTGCAAGGATGTGAATACATTTTGTTGCAGATTCTCTCTGCGCTTGTATGGGTCTCCTCCCACACTCCAAAGACATGCTGGAAGGTTAATTGGCTATGTGAGATAGGGGACCTTACACTATAAGCTCCATGAGGGCAGGGACTCATGTGAATGTGCAACTACCGGTATGTAAAGCGCTGTGTAAATTGTTGGCACTATATAAATACCTGTAATAAATAAATATTGGTGGCCAGTGGCAGGAAATCTATCTCTTACATTGGAGGTCAGTGGGAGGAAGAAGACTATCCCTTACAGTTATGGACAGTGGGAGGAATAATGCTTCTTGACATTTGAGGTCAGTGGGAGGAGGAACATTTTAGACAGTGGGAGGAAGAATATCCCTTAGATTGGAGGTCAGAGGGTGGAAGAATATCCCTTACATTGGAGGTCAGAGGGTGAAAACTATCCCTTACATTGGAGGTCAGTGGGAGGAGTAATATCCCGTATATTGGAGGTCAGAGGAAGAAAGACTGTCCCTTACATTGGAGGTCAGTGGGAAGAGTAATATCCCGTATATTGGAGGTCAGAGGAAGAAAGACTGTCCCTTACATTGGAGGTCAGTGGGAGGAAGACTAACCCTTACATTGGAGGTCAGTGGGAGGAAGACAACCCCTTACATTGGAGGTCAGAGGAAGAAAGACTGTCCCTTACATTGGAGGTCAGTGGGAGGAAGACAACCCCTTACATTGGAGGTCAGAGGAAGAAAGACTGTCCCTTACATTGGAGGTCAGTGGGAGGAAGACTAACCCTTACATTGGAGGTCAGTGGAAGAAAGACTGTCCCTTACATTGGAGGTCAGTGGGAGAAAGACTATCCCTTACATTGGAGGTCAGTGGGAGGAAGATAACCCCTTACATTGGAGGTCAGTGGGAGGAAGGCCCGTTCAGCATTGCGGTCATCGGAAGCCCGCCCAGTACGATCTGCCTGTCCAAGATGGGCAGATCGTACGTTTTCTTAATTACTTTACAACCCTCGCAAGACTTGTAAAGTGTATGGCCTCCTTTACATTGGAGGTCAGTGGGAGGAAGACAACCCCTTACATTGGAGGTCAGTGATAGGAAGACAATCCCTTACATTGGAAGTCAGTGGGAGGAAGACGACCCCTTACATTGGAGGTCAGTGGGAGGAAGACACCCCCTTACATTGGAGGTCAGTGATAGGAAGACAATCCCTTACATTGGAGGTCAGTGGGAGGAAGACAACCCCTTACATTGGGGGTCGGTGGGAGGAAGACGACCGCTTACATTGGAGGTCAGTGGGAGGAAGACAACCCCTTACATTGGAGGTCAGTGATAGGAAGAATGCCTATCTTACACCACCAACTCTGTCTCTGCCAGGCCAGAACTATGGTGACAGTGTAGGTCAAACGTCCATCCGGTTCAGATGGCATTGCTGACGGGGGCAAATAGCAGGGTACCCAGGGGACGCTCCCTTGGTCTGGTGACACCCCTGACTATCAGGGTTATTCACAAAAGGGTGAAGAGTTTGGAGAAGGCAGAAGTGATCAAGCTAGGACAATGTAGCAGAACTGGGAAGTGAGCTGAATTGAGCATTTTTCAAATCAGCTATTTTGGCCTAGATTGTTCCCTTCTCCGGACTCTTCACCCTTTTGTGAATAACCCTGATAAAATGTATTTTGCCCACTTTGCATAATAAGAGAAGAGGGGGTTTCCAGTGTTGTATGTGTGTAGGGGTGAAAGGTCATATGAGGTGAATTGTGTTTTGCAGACTCCCATGGACTGTCCCTAGAAATGAGGGTCACTCTCCCACCATTATCTCTGTCTATGTGAAGCTCAGTGATGGGGGCCTCTCAGTGCGGACAGCCGGCAGCCCTCAGCTATGTGTCAGTCTGCCCGCCAGTAACTCCTCCGCTGCCGGCTAGTCACACTAACTGAGCACACAACTCCCCAGGCTCCGGTGCAACGTGGCGCCCTGGCTCCACCCAGTCATTGAATCTCGTCTGACCAATAGGAAGCGGCGTGACAGCTGACAGCACAGGACGGCTCCTCGCACGGGATTGGCTGCGAGCGGCTCCCATCCCTCGACGGAGCAAGTAAGTCAATGCTGCAATGCTGAGTGTGGAGTGAGAGCGATCTGACCGGGGGACCGGAGGCTGAGCCCAGGGCGGAGGGTGTGCGGGTAAAGGAATGACTGCTGCAGGGGAGACTGCGTGTGGATGAGTGCATTGCGGTGAGCGTACACAGGGGATGTGAGCCAAGGCTTAGCAAGGGCTGAGTGTATGTGCTTTCATAATGGAAGGACATGTGTGCCCAGTTATCAGTGGTTGGGCGCGTGTGCCCAGGTATCGGTGGTTGGGCGCGCGTGCCCAGGTATCGGTGGTTGGGCGCGTGGACCCAGGTATCGATAGTAGGGTGTGTGGACCCAGGTATTGGTGGTATGACTCGTACCCAGGTATCAGTGGTAAGACATGTTCACCTAGGTGCTTAAATCATTGGGCATGGTTGCATAGAGGCTGAGTGACTTGGCATGGTTGCCTGGCTGAGCGAATGGGAACGGTTGCCAAAGGATTGAGCACGGTTGCCTGGGGCTGAGTAATTGGGCACAGTTGGCTGGCTGAGTGATTATGCATGGTTGTTCGGAGGCAGAACACAGTTACCAAGGAGCTGAGCAATTGGGAACGATTGCCCAGAGGCTAAGGGATTGGGTCAAGTTTCATGGAGAGTGAGAAATTGGGCATGGTTGCCTGGCTGACCAAATGGGCATGGTTGCCTAGGGGCTGAATGCTTGAGCTCAGTCTGCTGGCTGAGCGACTGGGCGCCACTGCCCAAGGGCTGAACAACTGGGCGTGGTTGCCTAGGGGTTCGGCATGGTTTCCCGGAAGCTGAGCAATTGGGCATGGTCACCTGTGAGTTAAGCCATAGGGCAAGGTTTCCAAGAGGTGTGGTAAGGCACAATTGGCAAGAGTTGAAAGGTTACCTAAGGGATGAGTGGCGGAGCATGAATGTTCAGGGTTTGTGAGTGAGATGACTTTGAGTGGGAGATCATGGATGTCCACGGGTGTTTTAGGGCGTTATTAGGGCTTTTTTTTTTTAAGTTTGCTGGGGCTCAGTTGTAGGGCACAGTTGCTCAGGACTCAGTGATGGGGCACACTTGCCCGGGGTTGAGTGGGAAGGCGCACTTGCCCGGGGTTGAGTGGGAGGGCGCACTTGGCCGGGGTTGAGTGGGAGGGCGCACTTGCCCGGGGTTGAGTGGGAGGGCGCACTTGCCCGGGGTTGAGTATTGTCATTACTGGCACTAATGTTATAGTCCTTCCAAGCTACATTTTATGCAGATATGGAACTACATTGTTCAGAGAATAATATTGCAGTCAGGTAGCTTTTTAGGGATTATTTAACGGGGCAAAGATCAGTAGAATAAACTAGATTTTTTTTTTTCTGTAGTAATATCGACTCTTAACATTTCACTATCATAAAAGTGATGATTGGTCTATCTGGGAATTGTAATGTTAGGAATTTACCAATAGACATGTATAGAAACAGACGGAATGGGGTACGTGAATGTCACCAATCACTGCAGGTCAATAATCATATCTGGGTCTGTGTTAGCGATATTTCCCCTAATTTTTTTTATCCGCTGAATTTAGGCCTACTCCGCTGGCATTGTACTGAATTGCTTGAATATATTTGCATTCACATTTCATGTTATTTTTTACATCTTGAGTTTTGGGTAGGCACAGTCCGGTTGCCTTCAGACATCTTTCATGGCCAAAAGTATCTGTAAACACGAGAGGCCACATTGGGCATTAGACTGCGTTTAGGCCAATGGGGAGAGGCTGGGGAATTAAACTTTGACTCCAGCTTATCAGGGGAGATAACAGCAGGCAAAACATTTTTTTAAGACCTGTCTGATTCCTGTTACCCCAGGTGAGCCTTGACTATTGGTGCATGGTAAGGTTATGGTAAGGACTCTTGTCCAATTTCTATTAAAAACCATTGACCTGATGATAAAAAAGCTAGCTGATAATGATTGCAGGAATTTACTACATTTGGGTAAAAGACTTATGTTGGACAAGTGCTGCTGGGGTAGATCCCAGCCTGGCTGTATTGGGGACACCACTAGTCTTTGCAGAATTGCCTTCTTACTCTAGTGTCATCTACCAATGACTGACAGCACAGTGAGCAAGATGACATTCCCTATAATGTGTTCCATCGGACAGTTCGCAGAACACAACTTTGTAACTGGATGCTGGAAGTGTAAGCAAATGGGACAGGTGGGGGGTTCTAATAGTACAGGTGGTACTCTGATACTGCAGAAGTTGTTATAGTGCTGCAAAGGTTGGGAAACATTGCAGTAAAAGAACACACGAGAGGATGACTACTCACCAGTACATGAAGGGAATGATAAAGTGTTGTGTAAGTAAGCGTTTGATCAGAGGAAGTAGGAAGGAGGAAGTGTGTATACGGACCTATCGAGGGTGAAAATGTTGATCTCTTCCTAATGGCGTTACTATGTCATAACCACATTGCTACATGTGTTTCCATTCTTGATTCTGGCACTGCATGGCCTGAACACAGAAAATAGAAATGTATTGCCAGCTTTACTGCTTGCCACAAGCTGCTCTGGGAGCCTGACTTGGTTCCACCTAGGTGCAACGGATGAAGAATGCAAGAGGATAGTCTGGGGAGTCTACTTTTAGAAGTGTAGTAATGTAGGGGGGGGGAGTGGCCTCCTACAGCCTCCAATGGAACTCTTCTCACATAGTTGTTCACATTGTTTTAACATAACCATATGCTATTTGACAGATTTTGAAGCTGATATAAGAAGGACACCAGGAGGTACCCATTTGTACCTACCATTGTCTTTGTACCCATTTGTGCCCTCCATTGTCTTTGTACCTGTCTGTACCTTTAGTTGTCTTTGTAAACATTTGTGCCTTCCATTGTCTGTCTTTCTACTCATTTGTGCATTCAATTGTCTGTGTGCCCATTTGTGCATTCAATTGTCCTTGTGCCCATTTGTACCGTCCGTTGTCCTTGTGCCCATTTGTGCCTTCCATTGTCTGTCTTTCTACTCATTTGTGCATTCAATTGTCCTTGTGCTCATTTCTGCCGTCCGTTGTCCTTGTGCCCATTCCTGCCTTCCGTTGTCTTTTGTGGTGCCCATTCCTGCCTTCCGTTGTCTTTTGTGGTGCCCATTCCTGCCTTCTGTTGTCTTTGTGGTGCCCATTCCTGCCTTCTGTTGTCTTTGCGGTGCCCATTCCTGCCTTCTGTTGTCTTTGCGGTGCCCATTCCTGCCTTCCTTTTGTGCCTTCCATTGTCTTTGGAGGTTTAAAAACCCAGGCAGCTTGATATGCAAATATCAAATTTCATTTTGCAGGCTGGAGCTCTGACACCCAACAAAAGTCTGAAGTTTTAAGTAGAAATTTGCATGTTGAACTTCCCCTGAGTTTAGGGGCTCTCTGGGTGCTCTGGAAGATGAAGGAAGGTACAGGTGGGCATCTCTTACATCCATTCTTAACTTTTTATGTCTGCTTTAGTATCTATTAAATAGGAAAGGTTTCCATTTCTTTCAAACTGAAGCAGCTACAGTACCTGATTTTACCAGTAGAGGGCAGTGTAACTAAAATCTGGCTTTACCGATTCTGGTTCATGTAGAAATTGGGATAGGAGGAGAATATGTGTTTACTGAAGAGAGAGGATCCTCAGTGAAAGGCCATTTAAACTTGACAGATCACACATCCAGAGGAGTTCGATACGTTTGTGGGCTACACAAGTGTTTGGTAGACTATGGCCTTTCCGCTCATTAAAATTACAGTCTTTGAGGCCCTGTTACCAGTCCCTAGTGAACTGATACCTGTTCAGAAAACATGACACGTCAAGCAATATTGCATATGATATTATATGAGAGGTCACTTTAGCACAAAGCTCAAGAAATCAGGCCCATAGACCCTTTTATTTCCCCAGGCTTTTGTAGACTTCCTCATACATGTAAGCATGCATTAATGTTCATTATCTTTTCTTGCAGTTCCTGTGCTGCTATTGGAATGGTGATGGAGCCTCATACATTTCTTTTCGTGCTGCTTCTATGTGCTGGAGAGGTGATCTGTAAACCCACCTTTCGTAAAGAGCGGATACGCCTGGACCCTGAGCTCAACACTCAGGCCCATGAAGAGAACCAGAGCTTCCAGCAGGACCATGAGGCCTTCCTTGGCAAAGATGAGGCCAAGACATTTGATCAGCTAACTCCAGAAGAAAGCAAAGACAAGCTAGGGTGAGACATTGGAATTTGTATTATCACTGTATATGACGTTAGTCTCTCTGTTACATGTGAATTCAGACCTTGAATGCACAGGACTTTCCTGATTTTCTTCAATCCTTAACTGTACAGCTATAGCGCTGCACAAATATACTGTATGTAGGGATGCACCGATGCCGATACTAGTATTGGTGCTTGGACGAGTACTTGCACTCACCCAAATACTCCTGATACCTATTGCAATACCGGAACTTCCGGTAGCAGGAAGCCGGATGGCGAGTCATTACACACCGCCCCGCTTTCTGATTGGCCGGAAATCCAATGTCACTTGGTGAGGAGAGAGCATGGGGCCGGCTTCTCAGCCAACCACCGAGTCATTACACGTCCCCCAGCTTCCTCATCTGCTGGGAAGCCAGCTCCCTGGTGACGAGGGAGCTGGCTTCCCAGCCAACCAGGAAGCCGGGCGGCGTGTAATGAAGCGCCCGGCATCCTGACACCGGAAGTTCCGGTATGGGGATAGGCATCGGTGCATCCCTAGCATTTATTAATTATTTTGCAAAAGGTGGCTTATGCCTTTTTATATGAAAACCTCTGTAGGGAACACAGCGTACAAAATACTGAAACCAGTAGTGATTACATTTTAGATTATTGCAGTCAGACCACTGAAAGCAGAATTCTGATTGTCTGCTATAAGTTTCTGATACAAGTAAAAAGTAATATCCTGAATGTTCTTTGGATTATTCAGTAAGTGCTTCTCGGGATATGTATGTGAGTATTTTCTATTTCTGTTCGGTTTCCTGTGCAGACCTGGTATTGAGCTGATCCTGTTGTGAAGTCCGTGTGAAGCTGCCCCCCCCCCCCCTCTGCTCGGTGAGGGGTCAAATGATCAGATGACGGGGAGGGTCTCTTACCATGCTGATAACGTGGCACATAGACTTGTGAAACTGTCAGTGCTGAGGAGGCTTCAGTGAGCTCAGTTCAAAGGGGGAACTGAAAGGGAGACGTGAGGACATGGTGTCTGCAGGCCAGTATGTTACTGGCAGTCATTCAATGGCCTCCGAGATGCAAACAATCATTTGCTGCAGTTGATGATTTCGGCGTTCTTAGCAGAAAATAATATAATGTAATGTCAGGAATGTATCTGTTATTTGACGTCTGCTGAGAGTAATTACACTGCATGATGACAAAATGCTCATGTAAATTACAATGAGGAAAAAAACCCAACAATTTTTATATACATATATATATATCCCATAGATATAAAGACATTTTTATTTTCATGTTGGCATAAACAAAGATCTGCTTAACACTATGTGATGTTTAAGTCTAGCAGCTCCCTAAGGACTCTGTCATGCTGGTGAAGCAACTCATGTGAGCAGGTAACATATAGGATCCCCTAGGGCAGGGGTGGCCAAACTCCGGCCCTCCAGCTGTGGTGAAACTACAAATCCCATGATGCATCTCTCTCCCGGAGTCATGTCTGGGGCTGTGAAAATCTTGCAATGCCTCATGGGATTTGTAGTTCCACCACAGCTGGAGGGCCATAGTTTGGCTACCCCTGCCCTAGGGCTTAGTCTTTAAGGCCAGCCGATATTTTGTCAGGGGCACCTTCTTGGAGGTTTGGTGTTAGCTGTGTGCTGACCCTATGTCACGACCCCAAGGTTCACCCTACTCTAATATGTGGATACTAACCTGCATAGGCTGGAGAGGAGGATGGACCAGGACAGAGGAATAGTCCAGGGGGCAAGCAGAGATTTGGTTGGTACACGAACAAAGGTTCAGTTCAGGCAGCAGGCAGGGGTGTGGTCGCTACACAGGAGAGTGTCAGTCCAGGCAAAGACGTGGGCAGTATTCAGCCAAAGGATGAGTCCAGGTAGCAGGCAGAGACAGGGTCAGTATAAAGGCAAAAAGTCAGTCCAGGCAGCGGGCAGAGACATGGTTGGTATACAGGCAAAGGGTCATTCTAGGCAGCAGGCAGGGACATTGTTCGCTACACAGGCAAAAGGTCAGTCAAGGTGGAGACGTGGTCAGCATTCAGGCAGCAGGCAGAGACGAGGTAGGTATAAAGGCAAAGGGTCAGTCCAAGCATCAGGTAGCGACATGGTTGGTATACAGACAAAGGGTCAGTCTAGTAGGAGGAGACGGGGTCGATGAAACAGGCAACGGTCGGTAAACGGTAGTGGGTTCAAGGCAATAGAAGTCCGAGGCAAACTGTTGCTTGGGTGCCAGACACTGGGACACAGATCCTTTAAATAGGTGTGGTGTATGTGGTCACATGCGTATAACGTCATCAGCCAGGAACCCTGGAAGCGCTGCTGGCCCTGGGAGAGAGGGAGCCTGGCACGTGAGCGGGGAAGGTAAGTGACAAACGCAATGAACTGGCATGGTGTGATTGGGCCTAACACACACGTTGTATGTTGCACATTAATATGGTTTGCATTACCAAATACACCACAATGGACTGAATATCTGCAACACCTGGTAGTACTTTATGAATGTTGCTGTGCGCTGCAACTCAGGTGCAGTGGGGGTGCCATTCCGTTGTATTCCAGTAACAATCTGCTATAAATGAAATGTAACACTTAACCCTCCTCTGCTTTAAAACTTAAGCTAAATCCTAAAATCTGAGATTTTAACCCCCACCCCCTGCCAAATCTGCCTCTGTGAAATATAACATTGGAAACGGCCAGTAAGTGCAAAAATAAATGATCCAGTTCATCAAGTGAGCTGTACTAAAATTTCAAGGAGCATCATCATCATTGCTCAGTTCAGCAAAACCCCCCAGCCCCCATGTTGTGAAGATGAGAAGAGGAGATATTCTGTAGTCTGTCACTGGGACAGGAAGTGAGCCAAAGCAGTGGCCACCTGGCCAGGGGAGGTAACAGGCTGGTAAATGGTCCAGATGTATGCCCCTGGACACAGTCACATTTTTAAAGGTGCATGGACCGTTGCCCCTATGTGAATGAGCCTTTAATCTAAACCTTTGAGCAAAGAAATATTGCAGAAGACAGAATATTGCTCGGGTACTTTTTAACATTTATTTTTCCCACTGCAGGCTCCAGGGGTGTCACCCTGCTAGGCAGTGAAGCCAAGGATCAGGATGATGGCTCCAGAGCCTGCTCCTTGTTAAAGGAGAACTATGGGGTTAGGGCTTTTCCCCATAGTTCTCCTAAGGGTAACGGGAGGTCACAAACTAGCGTCCTCCTGTCACCCTAAGCTCAGCTGAGACGCCGCAGCCGGAACGGATCCCGACCATTATGTCTGGGTCCACCCAGCTGCGTGAGTGACAGCTGGCTCCGCCCATCTAGAGGCAGAAACAGCTGTACCCTCCCCTGTCTGTTCTGTCAGTCAGCGCTGGAGGATCGGTCAGGGGAAGAGGGGGAATCCAGTCACTCCCCTGTCACGGCTCTCTGCCGGCACAGGATCGAGAAGTGAGCGAGCGCCGGTATGTGTTCGTTCACTTCCCGATCTACTGAGCCGACCTGTGACAGTCACTCACCTCATAATTCTACTTTTAAGTCAGCAATGGCAGCGTCAGTTTAGACCAGTATAGATATTTTACGGCGTATCCGTCTGAGGCATGCATGTAAACTAGAATAGTCACAGACAGCTCTGTTCGTCATTTGTAATTCTCCAGGTACCTGTCTAAAGGATGATACATTCAATTGGTTTTGCAGGAAAATCGTCAACAGAATAGACGGGGACAGCGACGGGTTTATAAGCACGGAAGAGCTGACGTCGTGGATTAAACGAGTCCAGAAAAGATACATCTATGAAAATGTAGCCCGGGTCTGGAAGGACTACGACGTCAATCAAGATAACCAGATTTCATGGGAAGAGTACAAGCAGGCCACCTATGGATACTACTTGGGTAAGTTTGGCAAGGAATGCTGGGTAATCCTTGCTTAAGCTGGCCATACAAGTTTCAGCCAGTTCCAAAACTGGCACAGTGGGTGCCGCTGTCGGCACACTGTCGGACGGCATCCCTTGATCAACTGATCGAAGGAGCTGGTCGTAAAATCTTCGAACGGACAGAGCCGGCGGCCAGTGAACTGCCAGCTCTGTCTGAGTATTCTGACAGTGGTCTCCGGCCGCTGATGGGGCGTTTTAGTCCCAAGGTCTGGAAGGTGAACCTGGCCTTTCAAACCCAACTAAGTAAATAAATGAACTCTGGTTGTAGTCAAACAGTAACTTGTGAAGACCATAATGTTTGATTGGCACTAGAGCTTCTCTTGGAAGAAATTACCCCCTCCCCCGGCATTTAGATGCAGGGAGGACTGCTGCTATCGGTGTGTAAGCAGCTGTCTCTATAGCAATCCAGAATACCCCCACATCGGAGCTAAATTCAATCAGCAGGGAACATGAGCTTTGCTCATTGCAGAGCTATTAGGCTGACACAGCAGGGGACCTCTGTAGAGAGGCCACTGCTTCCACGTAGAACAGGATCTCTGCAGCTAAATACCCAGGAAAAAAGTTTGATCTTCTGGTGTTTGGTTACACCCCGAGTTCTTTTATTTACTTTTAGGGTACACACAAGCAGCATGCCGGAGCATCTTGTAGTGATCAGTTGTACATGAGCATTGTGCGAAATTGATCGCTGCTGCGTGCTATTACATGCTACATGTTTAGCTTAATTAATGGGGCGCCATTTGTTACATGTGTCAAGCAAACAGATGCTACTCAAGCTACTCAATTTTAGTAGCATGAAAAAGTGCACATTTATTTATTTTTGCCCTGTTGACCTGACCTAAACCAGTCTGTGTGTGTGTGTGTGTGTCCCACACAGATTCATACTTCCCGAAATCCAACAAACTCGGCCTCTTGAGTTTTACATCCAGCCCTCTATCCTGGCTGCACCTGAGCATTACAGCTCCATAGACAGAGATGATAAATAAATACATATTTCCAATGCTCATCCGCTCCATCTAGTGGCCTCCGTGCAGTATTACATGACAATACATTTGACCTGCAAAGATGCTCCTCTGCCCCATCTAGTGGCCATAATGCTGTATTACATGACAAAACATTGGAGCGGCAAAGATGCTCCTCCGCTCCAACTAGTGGCTATAATGCTGTATTACATGGCAAAACATTGGACCTGCAAAGATGCTCCTCCGCTCCAACTAGTGGCTATAATGCAGTACTATATGACAACCTGCAAAGAAAATATATTAAGAACATTCCTTTCTGTAATTTGTTTCCACAAAACAAATATTTACAGGTCAAAAGGGCTCTGTAAATTGTTTACAAATAGACCTCAATGTGTATAACCTTTTTTATTATTTTATCTTATATGATCTAAATATCGCCAACCGTTTTTGTGCAGTGCTTTGCAGAATAAGGTGTTTAGCAAAGGCTGTGTGATCACTCTAAACATCCAGCGGGGTGGGGAGTTCACTTTTGGGTCGGCCATGTAAAAATGAAAGCCTGCAGAAACCCTCACGGGGCACTGGATAAGTATTCCTTGCATTCAGTTTATTGTTATTCTTTGTAGCGAACCCGGAAGAGTTCCAGGACGCAGACCAGTTCAGCTACAAGAAGATGCTGCCACGTGACGAGAGGAGGTTCAAAAAGGCCGATCTTAACGGAGACATGCAGGCAAATCGAGAAGAGTTCACATCATTCCTCCATCCGGAAGAGTTTGAGCATATGAAGGATATTGTTATACTGGTAGGTGTATATATATATACCTGTCCTGACGTATGTGTTTTATGCTGTATTCAAGGTATGACCATCCTTACTTTAGAACTGTGAATGTGTGGGGTATACAGAGCCAGCTTCAGTTCAAGTAATGAGAAGGCTTCCCAGTGAGCTGATCAGAGCTACAACTAATAAATAGAAATCAAATTGTTCTTATACAAATGCCATTAGCTTGTTGGTTACAATCTATATATAAAAAATCACAGTGAATCGTGAAGGCTGGTTGGAAAAGGCATTGTATTGTTATATAGGATTGCATCAACCAAACTACATACAGTTATAAAAATAACAGAAGTGTATGCTTTGTCAATGGGATACAAAGCAGACTTAAAAGAGAACTGTGGCCCAGCCTTTTCTGGCCACAGTTTTCTTTAGGGTCACAGGAAGACATTTACTATCTCCTCCTGTGACCCAAAACTCAGCATAGAAGTTTTGGTCCTGTTACCAGCAAATAGATATGAGCTTAAAGGAGAACTATGAGGTGAGTGCTTTTCACTCACCTCATAGTTCTAGCCGATCTGTGACAATGAGACTGTCACAGGTCGGCTCAGTAGATCGGGAGGTGAGCGAACACATACCAGCGTTCGCCCACCTCTTGATCCTGTCACGGGGAGGGGCTGGATTCCTTGCTCCGATCCGCCATCGCTGACTGGCGGAACGGGAAGGGGCGGGCACAGCTGGCTCTGCCTCTAGATAGGCAGAGCCAGCTGTCAGTCACGCAGCTGGGCGGATCCAGACATAATTGTCGGGATCCGCTTCAGCTGCGGCGTCTTAGTATAGCGGGGGGAGCAATACCGGGGGAAGCAGCTCGCGGTATACTGCGGCATCTCAGTATACCGCGAGCTACAGCCAATGATGTTGCACAAAATAAAATCAAGCCCATATACATTGCCCAGCAAAGTATTTCTTTAAATTTTTGGCCAAACACTTACAGTCCTCATTCCAAACAGCTGACTTTAACTCTCAGCCTGGCTTCCCTGGCGTTCCTGTCCAGTACAATATCACAACGGACAGAGCAGACTCCAGCAGATATGCATCTTCTAGTCTGGGGTAGGGAGGAGCAGGGGAATAGCTTGCCTTGCTGTGCTTGTATGTTTGTGGAGACACATACAAGGGTGGCTCCATAGGAAAGGATCCACCCTAAAATGATATATCAGGGCCTGTGCTCAGTGGACCTAAAAAAAAAGGAGCAGCATCCATTGTAAGTTTGATTTGTCAACATTTAAATGAGCTTAAATACCTTTTTGACTTTAATATCACTTTAAAGGCATTGTGGCTCAGGAGGGGAGATAAGGGTCTAAACTGTCCAGAACTTTGGAGATCACCATCAGATCCAAATAAATAAAAACGTGCTCCCAGGAACTGGCTCCAGGACTGCTGTTCAGATACTTTATTTATTTGTTTTGTTATCATTATATCTTGTAGGAGACCTTGGAAGATATTGACAAGAATGGAGATGGATTTGTCGATGAAGATGAATATATTGGTAAGATGTTGTATGTCATGATATCTGTGAGGGTTCTCATAAGCCCTCAGGGACAGGGCCCTCCTTACCATCTTGTCTTGAATTGTATTGTGATTGTAATGTCTTCCTTATGTTGTAAAGTGCTGTGCAAACTGTTGGTGCTATATAAATCCTGTATAATAATAATTTATCTAGGTCATGGTATAGCTAGTAGTAGTCTCATTCGGCCGGACTTGCTTATAATGTAAAAGATGTTTCACTCCTCTTCCAAATAGGTTCTTGGCTCTAATGAGTGTCAGAAACACCCCCCCAACATTTCTATCCACACAGGTAACTGTCACCTAAATTCAATATTCATGGAGTATGTCAAGGCAGATGTTGATTGAACCTATCCCAGACATTCCTGGCACCATGGCATTGAATAATGTGATTCAAACAAGGTGATGTCACAATTGGTCAGACCTCCTATCATGTTCTTGGACAATCGACATCTGCCTTGGCAAATTTCATGGTACTTGTTGTATATGCTCTGTGAGCTGTGGTGCCATGGATGGGCTCATTAGGGCCGGCCTTAGGCCTTTAGGCGCCCTGTGCGAGAAAGCTTTACAGCGCCCCTCAGTGGCCACACCCTTTAGTGGCCACACACCCGTAACCACACCCATTTCCCCCAATATCCGCACCATTTAAAGACTCCTATTTTGTTAAGCCGCAAAGAAACATATTAAAAAGTATGATAAAAATAAAACTTTTATTCAAAGGTATTAAACTTGTCGGCACAATATAAGTATTCGTATCAAATAAAACAACAGAACGTAAACAATAAATGTCAAACTACAATAGAGTCTATAAAAATAAAGTGTCAGGATGTCATGCAGACCCCTTTTTTTCAAGTAAGTGCATCTACAAAAGTAAAAATAAAAAGCAGAACACAGACCCCAGGCTACATGTAAATTAATGAATTGCTATATGTCTGAATATACGAGAAATGTATTCAGACACATAATAATAAGTTGTTTGAGAATGTATGTTGGCCACCAGCGTGTTCTGTGAATGCGTACCACCATCTTGGAGGCAGGGAGCATGACGTTACATGACGCCATGCATGCGTGGCGTCAGGTGACCTCACACGCCGATATTGGCCCCACCATCTTGGTGTATACCTAGATATACACCAAGATGGCGGCGCCCAACACGTGCGGTGTTATATGACGTCATGCGCCCTGCCTCCAGAGCACGCCAATGGCTGAATCCAAAATAGCATATAAATGTGTTTTGTTTGATGAAACAAATGAAAACTTTTTTAGTTTTCGTTCATTTCATCTGAAATGAATTTTTTGTCTTCGCACTTGTCTAATAATATGTGTGTGTGGTGTGTGGTGGGAGGGGGGCGGCAGTTTTCACTTTTTTAAAATATTTTTTTCATATTTATTTTTTTTTTTACTGTTGGGGGGCTTCGGGGAAATATTAGGGGTCCAAACAGACCCCTGACATTTCCCTTTTAAAATAGAAAAGAAATTGAGGACACCAAATCCTCAATTTCTTTTTTAGCAGCCTCAGCACTCAATGAATGGGAAGCACTCAGTACAGAGGCTCCTCCCATTCATACTTACTATCAATAGTTTCTGAATGGGGAGGAGCCTCTGTACTGAGTGCTTCTCCCCATTGGTGAAATCTTGAATGAACAGGCTGTGATGTAAATCACAGCCTGTTCATTCATAACTGGGGACACATAGCACTATGTGTCCCCAGTTATTTACAAACACTGGAGTGATCAGACGATCGCTCCAGTGTTTGTCCTTCTCACACGGAGGATCGGTAAATATCAATGATATTTACCGATCTCCCACTCTGCCACGCACAGAGCCGCTGTCATCCTGAAACTGACAGGATGACAGCGGCTCCGATCTCCTCCCCGCTCGGCCATCCTGACAGCTGCGGGCGTGGCTTCTCTCCCCCTCACCGCTCCGCCATCCTGACAGCAGGCAGCGCTCCCTCCTGCGCCCCCCCCTGAAGGGGGGGGCGGACGATGGAGCGCTGTCATATCGGATGGCCGGCGGTGAGGGGGAGAGAAGCCGTACACAGGACGAGCTGTGACGGCCGCACGGCGCCCTTGTTGCCATGGCGACCTGTGCAGCCACACGGCTCGCGCACCCCTAAGGCCGGCCCTGGGGCTCTTAAAGTAAACCTTTACATAGAGTAATATAAAGGCTGCCATTCATCTGAAAATTCTAGTTGCCTGGCTTTTACTCTGACCCTCTGGGTTTACTTTTATTCAAATTGCTGATCTGGAAGTAAGCAGACCAGGAAGTCCAAATAAAGTCAAGTCAATTTCATGTAAAAGTCAACCTTAGCAGGAGCTTTCTGCTGAATCAGCTGGTCCCCTGAGCACTGGCCCTAATATCCTGTGTTAGTGGCTCCTTTCCCATGTAAAGCCACCCGTGTGTATGCTAGTAAGCTGTGTGTAACTCCACAAATATACAGACACAGCAAGGCAAGCTATTCCCCTGCTTCTCCCTTGCCCCACGAGTCCTCTCTCTGGACCTTTTTAAATGATGCCTTTCCTAAGAGTTTTTCAGGGTTTGCCATTGCTGGCCTCTTTCCTGGTTCTTTTACTGATCTTCTGGCTTTAGTACTTTTGCTTCGGCGTGAACAAATATGCAGATCAGGAGAGGCAGAGTAAATGTCAGATGTCCTTCGCTCCATAGTTGTTTTGAGTTAAGTGACGCAAAGTATTTAAGCCAGAGGTTCAGCATGGCAGCCAGGCAACTAGAATTTTTACAATGGAAATGCCACAATAACCGCATGCAGGTTTTCCTAAAAGAAGTATGGGGTAAGTGTTTTTCCCCATAGTTCTCTTTAGGGTCACGAGAGGACATATTTCTAACCTCCATCCGTGACCCAAAGCTTAGTATGAAGCGGGCTATTGCCCGCAATATACTGAGAACGCCACAGCCGGGACGGATCCCGACAATACTGTGTTCGCTCACTTCCCGATCGATGGAGCCGACCTATGACGGCTTCCTCGTCACAGGTCGGCTCCAACTATGAGGATGAATGGAAATCACTCATCCTCATAGTTGCCTCATAGTTCTCCTTTAGGCCCCATTCACACTAAGCGGATTGCCGCAGCGATATAATGCGAAGTCGCCTGCCAATGATTTTTAATGGAGCTGTCTTAATGTACAGCTCCATGTCGCTTGTCGCGGTCGCAAGTCGCGCCTGCAGGACCCTTTTTTTGGCATATGTCGCGCGATTTTCTATTTTTTTAATGAAGCCCGACGGTGAAGGTCGCGCTACTGGAACGTCGCCGCGAAAGTCGCGCTATCCAGGCCGTGCGGATCCAGTCCAAAAGGTATGTCGCTTAGTGTGAATGGGGCCTTAAGGATAAAAATTAGACAATTAATAGTTCTCAAAATAGCTGCCACTTACCTGTAACGTCCTTGGATTCTCCCACTGGAATGTATACAGGGTGATTGTACGCTTAAATGGCCAATTATTTCCAGCAGGTTGTGTGATTTCTGTGCTCACGTAAAGAATACGTGCACCTTTGTGATGAAGATAATGTTACCTGTCATATTTGTTTACCTTTGCCTTGAATGTTGGCATCCTTGGGGCCTGTGTTGAAGCATTTTTGTTGGCTTCAAACAAGTTTTGCATCCCTATACAAGTCCATGGGCATGCAACAAAGACCCGCTAGAGCTCCTTCCTGTAATGCATTTCACCCTCTGAGTACAGTGCTGTATCTTTTTGGAGTATTTTGGTTGGTGAGGGCAGAGACAGCACCAAGAGGTGGAAAGATGCTATTGCAAAACCTTAGAGCTGAGCATTATAGGATTATATATGTTTTAATGGGAATGCAAAGTTTGCTTAAAGCCGGTCACAAGGGGGTCAAATGCACCTATCGGTACATTCCGAATGACCTCAGAAGCATCTGAAACTGATGCCATCAACACAAGCCCAAAGGCTGTCATCGCAGAACACTATTCATTTACATAGGACCTGCCTTCAGTGAAGTGTCTTGCAGCATTTAGAAAAAAAGGAAAAGAGGTGGTCAAATTAAAGGAGAACTATGAGGTGAGTGCTTTTCACTCACCTAGCAGTTCTTTTTCAATTATTGCTTGATGAGTGGCTTCTTCTGTATGCTACCCTAATGATACCTGTCTACCTGTTTTATCTTCATTGGAAAATATGCAGTTAAAAAGATTCTGGGGTTGTCTTTGATAGAACTATATATAGAAAGAGCATCCTGACTTTATTAGGAGATACAAACCGCTTTGAAAACCCATGCACGCAGCTCTGCACAGACACAGCATCAGGAGGAGGAGCCACAGTACACCGCACGGGAAGGCAAGCATCGGACACATCCAAGAGGATGCTGGAAATCATACCGGCGCTTCTAGCCCTGCAACAGAGGAAAGATTGTATTATTCAGAGGCAGTATTAGTAACTATATGTATTTTAAAGTCAGTGTTTTAGGATACATGCATCCTAACAATAATGTCGCTTTATAGCCGAATTACACAAAACCTACCCGTGCAGTGGCACTTGCAAAGGCTTAATAAATGCTCATTAAAAGAGAACTATTGGGTAACCTTTTTATCTCATAGTTCCCTTTAGTGTCACGGGAAGACATATACTAACGTCCTCCCGCGACCCAAAGCTCAGTATATTGCGAGCTATAGCTTGCGATATACTGAGAGCGCCGCAGCCGGGACGGATCCCAAAAATACTGTCGAGATCCACCCAGCTGGCTTATGGGCAGAGCACGCTGTCAATCTAGAGGCTGTGCCTGCCCATTCCTCCAGTGCAGGAGGATCGGAGAGAGGGAATCCCTATGGTGACTGTCGGTCTCTGCAGGGAGATGATCAGGAAGAGAGTGAGCGACTTCATGTGTTTGCTCACTTCCCCATCAATAGAGCTGATGTGTGACGGTTTCATTGTCGCATGTCGGCTCTAACTATGAGGATGAGTGTAAATCACTCGCCTCATAGTTCTCCTTTTAAATCTAGGGGTAGAAAAAG